AGCTAGCTTAGGTCCTAGATCATTAGCCTGTCCGTCCGGAGGAGCGGATCCCTTTCTCATATGGGTCTCCCTCCCTGTGGGTTTCCCTAGTTCTCCTCCAAGGTTTCTCACTTTTTCCCACTGGGTTTTTTAAGAGTTTTTCCTTGTCGATGCAGGAGGGTCTTGTTGGACAGTTAGTGTCCAACAGAAAGGATTGGTGATGATCAGGACACTTTAGCATTCTACAACATGTATGGACATTTTCTTCTGTGTGTGCTTTATATTCTTCATGTGTTTTAACTGTTGATTCTCTGACCTGTGTTGGTGATTTCAATGGTTTTGTTAAGTCCTCTGAGATGACTTCTGTTGTGACCTAGGGCTATACAAGAATAAATTGTATTGTATTGTATTGTATGTATCTCAAACCCAAGAGTTGAACAATCAATTCAAATTTTGTGCAAATCGGACTTTGTATGTGCAAATGGTGGCATTTAATGTTGTACAACAGCGCCCCCTACAATTTAATTTTTTAGTGTTATACCAAAGAACTCCAAAATAATACACTTTATGCCTGAAAAAAACTTGTGGCAAAGTTTGGTGAGTTTTCATGTTTGTAAAGTGGGTCAAATATGAGATCAAACAACATAAAACCTAAATACCTGTATCCCCATGTAAACCTTTACTCAGCCTGTAGGGGGCGCTAATGGGCCAATGTCATTGTTCACACTGTCATGTGACCTAGGCCCAGGAGTTGAACAACCGAGTCAAGTTTAGTGCAAATCAGAGTTTGTGAATGTGCTCCTGTTTGTTCATACAATCTGTGAGTGTGTCCATACAGTCTCCATTGGATAACATGGGAACTTCACACCTCTCTATGAAAATGACCACACTTTGGGAGTCTGTCACGCTCAGACCGTTTGACTAATTAAAACTCTATATGCAACTATTGATGGTCCATGTGTGGAGACCATGTGGAGCAATTTTCAGACAAATTAGTGAAACGGCCGCGGCTGGTTTGATGTTTGAGCGAGGTGTACTTTTCAGAGATTTAACGATTTTCTCATAGACACAGACAGGGGAGTGTTGGTCGTCGCCACGGCAACAGGGTAAAAAATAATCATATGTTGTCATTGACTTTTTGAATCCAGATGACAAAACAGAATTATGTGCAAAATTTCAAACATTTTGACAAAACTAAATTTTATTAGGCCCATGTAAAACTTTGACATAGTCTGTAGGGGGCGCTAATGAGCCAATTTCAATATTTCCACTTTCAAATGACCTAGACCCTGGAGCTGAACAATGGATTAAAATTTTGTGCAAATCTGACTATTTTTGTGCAAATGGGAGCAAATTTACTTTTGTCAAAAATCCCCAAAAAAATGTCACATTTTGCCGCTCCGCTGCTCGGACAACGTTTAATTGATCCAAATTCTATATTCAATAATAGATGGGACATGGGTTTAGACCATGTGGAGCGATTTTGAGACAAATCGGTGAAGCGGCCGAGGAGGAGATAATTTCCAGCCAACATGTGTGAAAAAGATCAATTTTCATTTTTCCATTTTCCAATTAAATTAATGAGCTTCCTGTTTGTCAGGGGGCGGAGCCATAATAACTTTTTTTTCATGTCTTGACCTGAGGAACATGTGTACCGAATTTCGTGGCTCTACGACAAACTTGACCTCCGACCCCCTCCCATAGGCGCAATGTAAACTGACTTTTGTAGGGGGCGCTATTCTGACATTTTTTTAGTCCCATAAAAATAAACACCAAAAAAATTAATTTTTCGCCGGTTCTGAATTTTGGGCAAAATTTCACAACTTTTCATCAATGTTCAGGGGGTCAAATTAAGGTTCAAAGCGCAGAAGAAAAAAGAAATAATAATAAATAAACCAAACCAAGGAATTTTTTTTTTTTAAATCTTTGAGCAAAAACAATATAGGTTTCCATAGTAACCTATAATACAAATGATACGTCGTTTTAAAGCGAACGACCAGACGAACGCAACTATTGGGTTCTCGGTGATTGACGAGCGCTGACGCGCTCGTCAATCACCTCGCCATCATGAGGTCACCCACCCCCCCCATAGGACCCCATTGATTACAATGTGTACTAGCAGGAGCAAAGCCATTCAGTGCCTCCGGCACTGTTTTGTCAGTGTCTGGGCACGCGCCGTCGGGCTTGGGGGACGAATGTCCGGGCTTCGCCCGGACATTCGTCCGTAAAACAGTTGAAGGAACCCCCCTTTAATAGGACTTCAATCATTTCACTGTGTACTACAGCAGGAACAAAGCCATTCCGTGCCTCCGGCACGGATTTATCAGTGCTTGGGCACGTGCCGTCGCGTGCAGGTCACAATCTCCGGGCTGCGCCCGGAGATTGTGACTTAAACAGTTCAACGAGTAATGCCTGGGCTTCGCCCAGGCATTACTCGTTGGAAAAGCAATAGGCCCTTACCCCGGTTGGGGCTCGGGAATAAAAAAAATAAGGAATTTTTTTTTTTAAACTTCGAGCAAAAACAATATAGGTTTCCATAGTAACCTATAATACAAATGATACGTCGTTTTAAAGCGAACGACCAGCCGAACGCAACTATTGGGTTCTCGGTGATTGACGAGCGCTGACGCGCTCGTCAATCACCTCGCCATCATGAGGTCACCCACCCCCCCCATAGGACCCCATTCATTACACTGTGTACTACAGCAGGAGCAAAGCCATTCAGTGCCTCCGGCACTGTTTTGTCAGTGTCTGGGCACGCGCCGTCGGGCTTGGGGGACGAATGTCCGGGCTTCGCCCGGACATTCGTCCGTAAAACAGTTGAAGGAACCCCCCTTTAATAGGACTTCAATCATTTCACTGTGTACTACAGCAGGAGCAAAGCCATTCAGTGCCTCCGGCACTGTTTTGTCAGTGTCTGGGCACGCGCCGTCGGGCTTGGGGGACGAATGTCCGGGCTTCGCCCGGACATTCGTCCATAAAACAGTTGAAGGAACCCCCTTTAATAGGACTTCAATCATTTCACTGTGTACTACAGCAGGAACAAAGCCATTCCGTGCCTCCGGCACGGATTTATCAGTGCTTGGGCACGTGCCGTCGCGTGCAGGTCACAATCTCCGGGCTGCGCCCGGAGATTGTGACTTAAAACAGTTCAACGAGTAATGCCTGGGCTTCGCCCAGGCATTACTCGTTGGAAAAGCAATAGGCCCTTACCCCGGTTGGGGCTCGGGCCTAAAAAGTGTTGCCGTGCTACTGAATGTTAAAAGCCAGTCTGAATAAATGTGTCTTGAGCCTGGATTTAAAAAGGCCAAGATCAGTGATGGTGCGCATTTCAGGGGGCAGCTTATTCCAGAGTCTGGGTCCAGCGACTGAAAAGGACCGATCACCCCAACGCTCAAATGATCAGAAAGTCCACACCATGACAATAACTGGAATAACTGAATTTCATGATCTCACTTTTCTGACTTTAATCTCGGCAAAACACAGTCCAGTCCATCCCTCAGTCCGTTCTGTCTGTCTTTCGTCTCCTCCCTGATCGGCTTCTCTCGTTCTCCTCATCAACATAATCTCCTCTCAGGTTCCTCCACTCCTCCACTAATGTAGGCCCCGAGGGGGGACTGAGATCTCACATCCCGGTCACACATCTCGTCGCTCTACACTGTTCTCATGCTTTATGAATTATCCCATTAAGTTCATTGTGAAGTCCTCATACGCGGCTCCTCACAGCAGCAGCAGAACACTCCATTGATATGAGCGTCATTTCAAAACGTTCTACCGGTCATTCTTGGTAACCGACCTCTCAAAACAATAATGACCGCTGCACTTTGGCAACGCAGCCTCTGCTTGTAATGCAGATGTGTAGATTACTCCGCAAGTAGTTCCGGCCACGTCGGGGTCCGCTTCGCCCCGTCGGTACTTACTTTCCGATAATGATAATGCGTCGGTTTTATATAGCGCTTATTTGGACACTCAAAGACGCTTCACATGACATTATTCTCTCACTCCAAACACAGTGGTGATAAACTACTGTCGCCACAGCTGCCCTGGGGCACACTGACAGAAGCAAGGCAACCAGTCTGTGCCGTCTCCAACCACCAGCAACCATTCACACACACACCAGACTCATTCTAGGCAATGGGGGTAAAGTGTCTCGCCTAAGGACACAACAGCAGTTTGGCACTTTACAGCCGCATCAGGTGTTCCCGGAGGTTAAGTGTCTTGCCCAAGGACACAACGACAGCAGACATCAGTGGGAGTCGATGGAGAAAGTCTTGACATCGGCTTGAACCCTTGACCTTCTGGCTCAAAGGCCAACGCTCTACCAACTGAGCCACTGTCACCCTGCCGGCTCTACATTATCCCTAACTTGTAAACTCTCACATATGTTCTCACCGGGCGCTGGTTTATCTCCGCGGCTGTGAATCGGTCACAGCAGAGAGTTTTTAGCGGAGAAATGGCATCACCGGAGAGAAGGTGTGAGCCGTAAACACTGGACTGACCTGCGGCTCCTCACACCACAGTCTTATCGAAGCTGCTGCTGCTGTATTTTCATTTTAAATCAGACAAACACAGAATAACCCGTGTGCCGCAGCTGTCGGCCTGAGCACGGACACTTTCTCACACACACAAAAAACACAACTCCTCACAACAGGACCAGACACATCTTTGGGAAGGAGTCAGCTATTTTCAACGTCCACACACACACACACACAAACACAAAAACACACAAACATGAGGCAACCCTGCACAAGAGCAACACAATACTGCCTCTGTCCACCGAGTGCATTTATATCTTCCCAAAAGTCAACTCCAGATTCATCCCCGAGGGCCGCCCAGTGAAAAGTATCAGTGTCTAGTGACAGACTGAGGCAACAGCTGTGGAGTGTGTTGCAACGGCCTTGAACAAATTAAAGGCACTTACATCAGGAGGTTTTCTTCAGCCTGTTTTGTACTTCCACCAAACACTCTCCAGCGACACAAACTATCTACTGTCGTCCAAGGGCCAGACGTGCTGCGGCCAATCACAACCGCAACGCTCCGTCACCAGAAGAATATCTACGGAAATACGTCCAAAATATGAGTTTGCGCAATTGTTTTCATTGGTTGTTTCAGTGATGGTCATTATACCTGGGCACTGGTGCTCCCCTAGCCTGGTCGTACCACACCATAGTACAAATTACATCTCGTACTAAGGTCTGGATTGGCTCGATTGACTCTGTGAACAGGTGGGAGGGGTTAACTCCTTTTGTAGATTGAAACCATTGGATCTGAGTTTACCGTGACGTATGTAATGAGCCCGAGTGCGTTGTTAGCATTTAGCATTTAGCCTAGCTTTAGCCATCTCCTTTGCTGCTAACGGAGCCCGTGGGGAGTAGCGCCACAATCTTAACCAGCGATTACATTTGCTAAACATTCCTCTTGCTCCTGCTTCAATTTCTTGATAGAACCAGACCGGATTACTTTACTATCGCATTCTTCGCCAAACTACAATCTGCCCGTTCAGCGCAAACTCTTGACGTCACCGGCACCGACCTACAACACCCGCCTCCCTCGCTCGCTAATGGGACGGTCGAAATTCAACCGATTGTATTCGCTAACACAGGGACCAGACCCAGACAGGAAATGATGATTGAGTGGAGTGTACGGACGGCTATAGCCAGGCTGGTGCTCCCTCAGCGTCTGAAAATGGTTCAGGCCTTAACACAAGCTGGATTGTAAATGTCCAGAACAGTTTAAAGAGTGACAAAAAATTTAGTATTTACTTTCCAGGTAAGGGCAAATTATGAAGATCTTAGAAAATCGAGGACAATAGTTTAGAGAGTTTAAAAAGCCTTTTTTTTCTCACGGCTGTAAATGAAAATACGCACATTTAAAGAGTGGTTTTTAAAAGAGAATAGTAGCGTAGCTCGCCACCTCCTTCCTGGTTGCTCCCCTAAGGATTTATAAAGAAACACATACAATAAAATACTGGATTATTCAGTAGCCTCTGTACACTGCAAAAAGTGTAAAACAAGCCAAATATTGCTCTCGCTTCTCAGCTAGAACGTCCTGGGTTTGATTCCCGGTCGGAACAGGGCATTTCTGAGTGGAGTTTGCATGTACAATAGGTCTTTGCCTCCTGAACTGGCCCCGATCCCATCTCTGTGTGGAGTGACAGACTAATGCCCATAATTGTAAACTGCTTTGACTCTGGTCTGTGAAAGGTGCTATACAGTTTATAAAGATTACTTACTTACTAAAATGTCTCTTAAGTTGAGCACATTTTCACTGCCTTAAAACAAGCTTTGCCAGTGGAACAAGCAAAGGGATCTTGTTTTAAAAATACACAAGAAATGTCTCTCTTGGAATGAGAAAATGAAGCCACAGCTCTTGAACTCAGACTTTGTGGCTTTGTCTCTTTGGCAAATCTAGAACCACTCAATTCAAGAAATCATTCCCTGATAATTACAAGATACAAGATACATAAAATTCTTGTATTTTATCATTATTTACAGTGTACAATAGTTACATAAACACGGGGAGGACTTGCAAACTCCACTCAGAAAGGCCCTGCTCCGACTGGGATTCGAACTTGCGTAGAAGCGAGAGGGCTAACCACTCAGCCACCGTGCCATATAAAAGTCACACTGAGTCGGTTCAACCAGGACAGGCCTCCACGGGCACGTTTCAGTCTCAGGGTGGATTTTACAAACGGTTTGACACCATATTTTAAAGCGATACCACTGAACTCGTTGCTTCTTGTTATTTAGTTTCTTTTCTTGTTGCCGCAGACACATTTTTGAAGCTAAATATAAAAAGGAATTTGGACGGGAGGATAAATAATGGAGAGGGGATGAACGAAAGCTGTGATCCTTTCTTGCTCAGTCAAAATATTGAATCAGAGGGCAATCACGGGACGTTTTGATCCCGCTTTTAACCCTACGCTATCAAACCATATTTTCAAAGCCTTTCCTTCCACCTGTGCGTCACCAAAACACCCCCCCCCCCCCCCCCCCCCCCCCCCCCCCCCCCCCCCCCCCCCCCAACTGCAAACCCCCCCTCGCAAGCTTCTCCGCTACTACGACGACTACAGAGGAGCCATTTTGTCGGAGCAAGTGCTCGAGATTTTTTGGCAAGAATCGTCCGCATCTAGGTTGAGCAACGGTGAGATCCCCCCCCCCCCCCCCCCCCACCACCCACTTCAAAGCCCTCCCCTGCAGCGTTGTCTTGTGATATTTATTTATTGAGATGATTTTGCCAGAAACCCAATGGCCCTGCTCTTTGATATGTTGCTATGGCGTCCTCGGAGAATGCCAGGGTCGCCGGGTCAGCCTGAGACAGACCCCCCCTGGAGGACAAAATGCATGGCTCATCGAATGCGCCTACAAACAAGCACACAACGCTGAATAAGTACACAACAGATGATGCACCGGAGTGGGATGGGGGGGTGGGTAGGGGGCGCTATTGCTGGGGGGTGGCATTGATTATCATTAAAAGGCCAATAATTTGTTTCCTCTGCTTTTTCCGACCGTGACTCACATCTAAATGAATGGGAGAGGAAGTCGTTAGACCTAAATCTGCAATCTGGCGTGTGGCGCAAGCCCAAACGTAGCCATAAATCAATGAGAGATTTATTTGTATCGCACAAATTGTACACACGGCAATTCAAAGAGATTCACAGAGACCGTTTCAAAACACAGGTCAATATGATATGCAGCAAAAAGTAAAACAATAGATCATAGAAATACAGTTGACCAGGGTTTGAAAGCATTTTTTTTATAAGATCTGAAGTTTTTTAATTAAAGATGCAGTCATTGATTTTTTTTCCCAGACGCATTTTTTTAAATATTGTGGGAAAATGTATCAAGTTATCATGTGTTTTCAAATATTAATGGAATTGACCAGATGCCTGTAGTCTGAGTGGGCCGATAAAAATGAACCAATGGGATTCGTTCATCTCCAACGAACCAATGGGATGTGTTTACCCCCTTCACCCTCTTCCTGTTTCTCGCGAGTGCACCGGAGTTATCGGATTTTCTAAAACCTAAAATGAGCCAATTTCAAGTTCCACTCTCCCTGTTGTGACAAAGAAAAGAAAATGCTGGATGTTTGGTTTGAGGAGAGGGGAGGGAGGGGGGAGGGGGGAAGTGGTTTGGTGAGAGGGGAGGGGGGAGTGGTTTGGTGGAGAGGGAGGGGAGGGGGGAGTGGTTTAGGGAGTGGTTTGGTGGAGAGGGAGGGGAGGGGGGAGTGGTTTGGTGGAGGGGGGAGGGGAGGGGGGAGTGGTTTGGTGGAGAGGGGGAGGGGGAGTGGTTTGGTGGAGAGGGAGGGGAGGGGGGAGTGGTTTGGTGGAAAGGGAGGGGAGGGGGAGTGGTTTGGTGGAGAGGGGAGGGGTGGGGGGGAGTGGTTTGGTGGAGAGGGGAGGGGAGGGGGGACTGGTTTGGTGGAGAGGGAGGGGAGGGGGGACTGGTTTGGTGGAGAGGGAGGGGAGGGGGGAGTGGTTTGGTGGAGAGGGGAGGGGAGGGGGGGAGTGGATATTATGCATTACTATCATCTATGTACTTTGTCATTTCATGTTTTAGAAATAACAATAAGTGAAGTTAAGTAGAAAAAAAATGGTGAAGTATGACGGGTAAAAAAAAAAAGCTTTCCGCCTGTCACTCCCTTTGCTACCACCAGAGGGAGGAGTTGGATTTGTTTTTGTACAGATTAGAAAATGACCAGCTGTAAACACACATGTGATTGTAAACACAGTAATGTTCACTGAGAAATCGGCAACTTTCATTTATGGGCAAAATCATAAATAATCACAGTACATTAAAAAGACTAGGAAACAGTCTCTGAGAGGTTTTCAAACGGCAGCTTCACATCCACAGAAACATATTTATCGCAAAGAAAATGTGCAATGTGCAATACTGCAATTTAAGAATATCCACTGAATGTCACTTTATTTGCTTTTGTACGATAAAAAAAGCATTCCGCATTTTCACTTTAGACAAGAGCTGAGAAAATGGTCCAAACCAAGTGGCCAATCGTTCGCTAAGTTTGTCAGCTGGAATTATGCATTTATTTATTTTTTTGTATGGATGGTTTCTGCTGCTACTGGACATCTGAATTTCTCCTACAGGGATAAAAGTATCTATATCTGTCTTATCCTGCTCCATATGTATATCTGCACTATATAGAGAGAGATAAATAAATATATATCAATAAATATTGATATTGAAGCCTTAACAGCTAGCTAAGAAACATAGCAGCAACTTATATTGTACATTCGTGTAATCCCTGTGTCTCTTACTACTTATTGTTAAACTCTCCCCACTGTGGAACCAATACAAATCTCTTATTATATGACTTGGACTGTACGCACGCTCTGATTGGCTGATTACCGGTCTGATATTTTCCCATCTCGGACCGTTACCATGACAATTGGTCCGAACAGCGCGTATCACATTTGATATCTTTCCTCGGACCGTTACCATGACAATCTGTCCGCAGCCCGTATCACACAAAACCAAGTCGGACATGAACATACTTCACAAATATCTGAAAAGCTTTGGTAAAGACACTGACGAGAGTCATATAATAAAACATTTATTAACCTCGCTTGCTCGGTCTGTGCAGAGAAATATCAGACCTTGGCCTTTTTGCACTGTACATTAAGGCCGCGGTCTGATATTTCTCCATACAGACCTCGCGCTCGGTTAATAAGCCGTTAATATCTCATCTCAAATTATAAAAAATAAAATCAGGAGCAAAGTTGACAACTTCTCTGGTGTTGGCTTCGGTGAGGACGGATTAAGTTGAGGACAGATCCATCACTGCCAGCGTCTCTCAGCCCTGTGCATAAAACTGTTACATGCCATTTGTCCTGGAAGTGAGAGTAAGCTGCAGACTCCTCTCGCCACATTTGTCCAGTGTGTGTTTTTATCCTCACTCCTCACCGCTCTGCAGCCTTGTAATTCCAGCCACGGGGGAAGCCACCCTCGTCGCTTCTGCCCTGACACATCTCCAACATAATGCATTGTCAAATAATTCTTAATACGCCAGGTGTGACAAGAGCATTCTCAATATTTAGA